ATGATGTCCACAGATTTTCCAATTGTTTATTGTTAATGTTCATTGAGATAGAATTGAAGTGTTATAAAATTTTTCTGTGTCTGGTTTTAATTCTTTATCACTGCTGATTTCTGATTCCAAAACAGTCCCTTATCTTTGTAATTGCCCTTGTTTGGCATTGAAATTTAATATTCTTTCTCTGGTTTATACAACTGTGAAAACTCTACGGAAATCCGTTCAGTAGTTTGAGACTTTATCGCGTACAGACAGACAGCAAGACGTGATGATGAAATAATTTGTTTAAAATACAGATAAGTGACGAACAACCTCCAACCACAATTTTATTGTAGGATTTTGAAAGCGGCAATACTTCACATAAGAAATTTCATTGACTACTCACTTTATATCTTAATATTATATTATTTAGATAAAAATAAACTAAACGCCGATAACAACGGGTTTTTTTCTTCTGGAACTTGCATTAAAGTACTGTTACAATGAATTGTGAAAATTTTCCTAAACAAAGATATTGTAGATTATGCTTTATTAATATACGCATTATCCATCAAGATTATTGCACTCAAATGCACGATATGCATTATCAATAGCTGCAAAATGGCAGACAAAACAAACGTGGATAAGAAAGTTATTATCTCGCCACTATACATTACGTGCGGATCAATAATGTTTTGGTCTTTGGACCATGAGTTATAATTGGGCAGCAGTGAAGAACATGCTTATCCAAGTATAAGATTCTAACTTCTAAGTTCTGTGTGTTCTTTAAATTATGTAAATGTAGGGAGCATCGGATCATAATCGACGCTAGCGCCATTTGGCCTTCATCGTTTTAGGTCAGCCTTCAATGATTTTATAGATGTTTTACAACTTTTATAAAAATTAGACCATTGTTTAGTTTTATTTTAGTATCGTACAAAACAGATAACTTTTATCTTTTATACTGTAAACTTTTCCTGTGTTGCCAGACCTATTAATAGTATTAACTGACAAAACTGTATTATGGTCTTCTTCAACTATTTCTTTTGACTGCGTCTTTTTCCAAATCAAATTCATAATACGATATTGACCCTCAATTTTCCTTCATTGTAAATAACTACGTAACCATGAAAAGTTTCACACGGGTCCATATCATAAATAAATTATAACGTATGACTTGTACGAGAATGAGTAGCTTCACGAATTCTAAACACGTATGTCTACTTACGTCAATGTACGTCGTCGATTCAATATTAAAGTCTGCTCTAGCTAAGCGATTTGCGTTAGCGGACCATAATCTTAAGTTCTTTCGTCATTACTTGGATATAAGTACCTATAGGTAATGTGCTCTATAAAAACATTAATGTTTTGGGACTTATGTTTAATTGAAATTTCTAAAAAAGGGCCAAAGAAAATGACATTAACTACATGTCTCAAATTTTTGACCAACTTCAAAGTGAAGAAGATTTTTAAATCGGTTGATAAAGTCAAATATTTGCCTTCGCCTGAAGGAGTCTTATACAAATCGCAACATATGGTTCAGAGTAAAAATAAATGAATCATACGCAGTTCCTACAAACATGTAGTATAATTTTATAAAAATACCTTTTACTGCGTTCAGCGTTGTCATCATTGAAGTTATTTAATTTCTACGCATTTTACTATAAAAACTGATGAGGTATGAATAAAATTGGTAACGTTTAGTAATATGATGATCATGTTTTTGTATGAAAAACATTCCTTTTACCGCATCCGAATGTGGTGTGATTATTTTCTAAGTATTGTTTGTGTACAAGGCTAATTTATAAGTAATCAGTAGTTTTATATTCCACAGTGCAACGTAATATAAACTGCCTACCCATGGCTAACTGGTCTCGGATTTAATTCCAAGATCGGTGGAAATGATATTGACTTTATTCGGTTTTTATATTTTTTTTAGTTAAAGGGTCTAAAATTGTGCCAGTTGACAATTAACTCACCCTTGTACTCCCCTTGTACGAAAGATAACCAGCTCTTGAGCTCTGACACGACATGACGCCATGACACTTTTTTCCACGAAATGCTACCATCATTTCAAATCTATCACGCATCGTAGACATTATTACGCAAGTAATCTATGATTGTTATTGCCCGATATAAAAATACTGATAGAATATCTATAGTTAGACGTTGTTGTCGGTAACCCAGATAAGTAGGTAACCATTTCGGCCATATTATTATGTTTTTCAAATATACGTCAAGCGTAGGGATTGTGGCTCAAGCCGATTGCAGACCAAGAGCTAAGGCTTGGTCTTCATAACCGATGCAGTTTTCCATACTTGTCGCACAGTTTGCGGTCTGTACATAAATATATGGAAAACAGCGAACTAAGCTAAATTAGCTTAGCTCTTGGTCTGTAACCGGCTTTGGTATAAGATATTCAGTAGTCCAGAGCTGCAGACGATTGGGGCTCCAACTCGAAGCAGAAGTAGGGACGGGGTGGGTTTTAGTCAGTAAGAATCTGACACTTCTCACCTCACCAGGGCCAAAGAAGTTATTGGATGATTTTTCCTCCTAAAAAACCAAAAGATATTCATTCAGTAGTGAACATCTACCTTTCGATGATGATTGCTGTTTTACCGACATATCCATTCTATCAACAGTGGTATTTTCAACTACCTGCGTTTTTGTAGTAGTCCTTTTGCGATCTCGTTATGTTCAATCCAATTTTAATAACCTCTTATAATAGGTTTAGGGCAGGATTTAACAGATTAAAGTTTTTTTGTTTTTTTTTATAAAAACTCCCCTCTGACTAGAACAAGACTTTTAAACGTAAGAATACTTTAAATAAGTTTGTAATAAATCCAAATGGCCGTTAAATATTAATAGTCTGTTACACCTTTGTTGGCTGAGATACCTACACCCAATTACTGAAACGCCGCTAAATTTTATTAACTATAGATCTGTCCCTACATATTCTTTGTAAAATGACAGAGATGGCACGACATTTAAGTACAACTTAAAATTGAGTTTCTTTAGCCTTTCAGAGGGCTGAGTTAGTACGAGTTTGTTTTACGTTTAGAGTAATCGAAACGAGTACGCGTTCGGCGCTGTGATTGGTCGGCTCCAACGAACCAACCAATCAGAGCGCCGAACGCGCGTAAAATAAACTCGTACTAAGGCCTTAGTATTTGGGCGATAGACTAGATCATATTATTATAAGATCAGCAGCAATCATAAGACTACCGCAGTTATTTGTCATACAATCCATGGCATTCCTCATTGATGGACATAAACAAAATAAAGTCAAAGAATGTTTGTAACTAACAAAGAAACGTAAAAAAAGTATATCAATTCTATTGTGTTTCGTAGGCAGATATGACAAATGCTCTTATTCAATAGGCGATATAATAAAATTAAACTGTCAAACACCAAGCGGTCACCGGTGACCGCGACCTATTGTTCTTTAATTGTGTCTATAAAACCGGTACTCGACGAGTTAAGAGAGTTGACATAATATTTCTAGTTGTCTTTAATCAAAAACAACCAATTACATAATATGACAACTGTTGTAATATTAGACCAAAAATAGATAGTAAATAATTAATACCGATATTGTTATCATAACAAACACAGCCCCCAAACCGCATCGGTCGTTAAGACTATACAAACTTGAAGAACATCAGTTTAAAAATGCATTTGTGACTTTAGTGACGCATTTCTTAAATACGCTATTTGGAACAGATATGGCCGACCGTTCCTAATGACCAATTAATGGAATATAGTTAAAATCATAGAAGTTGTAACTCAGTGGTTCGCCAGCAGTTGAGGTTGAGGTTGGAATTATTTCCAAAAAATAATTAAGTATTGAAAAGGTGCTAAGTGTCTAAGATGTGTTTACTAGATTCACCCCAATTTCCAAATGATCGGGATAAATTGTGTGCTATTAAAAAAAGGTAGTTGATATTTTCGTAATTAATAATTATTATTCAATATTTTTGGGTATTTAGGTACCTATTATGATTTAAGTTTTTTATTATTGTGGAACTGTAAGAAAGTGTTCATGCAATCATTTTGAATGGTTGTTAAAAATATCGTAAGCGACAATTTTCAATGAATTTTCCACATTTGTCGTCAATATTCTTTGCTTTATAAACAACCAGAATTCATTAATTCATTTTTTTTTTATTAATGACACTGTGATTATATTGTGAATATTTTAATATTTTTAATCTATCTTTTGCAAGTCGAAAGAATTAATATATATTTATGGAAACACCAAATTTTATTTTTGTTTCCAAAAAATTATTCTACAGAGTGTTTTATTTTATGTGCGCAACAATTTCCATTTTAATTTATTTCGTGTTGTCTGTCATAGCGTGACGTTTTTGCCTTGATGGAAAACAATAGCGCTCAGATTTGCTCTAATTTTTCCGCTCAATCATTTTCGCTTGAATATTTATACAGTAACATTGTTGCTAACATGAAGTCGTGATTGAATGTGTTTTTATTACGGTATCAATGTGTAAAAGTAATTGATTTTACTGTTTAATAAATTTCTATTGTTAAGTATGTGACAATATTTAAATAAATTGGTTCTGCTCTTATTTTATTCTATGTCAGATCTGAATAAAATCACTTTTCAAACATCTTAGTTTTGAATTTAAACTGTCAAACACCAAGCGGTCACCGGTGACCGCGACCTATTGTTCTTTAATTGTGTCTATAAAACCGGTACTCGACGAGTTAATACACTTTCTCCGTTTAGATTTGTGGTCCAACGTAAATAAATCAAGTTCAAAATTTGATGTGTATTCTAGAATGTTATGTACCTAAGTATAATTTTTACTCAGAAATTCCTATCATTATGGACCTTGTCAACAATATAGTAACAGCAATTCTATTCTAACTGATTTTTCACAAAAAATAACCAGTATTTTAACTCGTCGAGTACCGGTTTTATAGACACAATTAAAGAACAATAGGTCGCGGTCACCGGTGACCGCTTGGTGTTTGACAGATTAACTATCTCTTCTCTTTCTCCCCAGGAATAATGAGAAAAGGAAGGAGAAATCGCGGGTGGCGGCCCGATGTCGACGCACTAAGGAGATGCAGATCTTCGCAGAGCTCACTGCTGCTCTACCAGCTCGTAAGGAAGAAGTGGAGCAGCTTGACAAAGCCTCCGTCATGAGACTTGCCATATCTTACCTGAAAGTGCGAGATGTGGTGTCTTTGCGTGAGTAACCTACTCTTTTATAACAAACTCGCTTTAGTAACAAATCAAATCCGAAGTAAAATATTATTAGGTATAGTCTTTTTCTTGGTCTTAGTATCTATTGGTGATAAAGCGTACTAGGAGTTTTTGAGTTTATATCGTTCAAATATAGACAGATAGACGCAAAAGGCGACTTCATTTTATGATATGTCAGAATGTTGAGGAAATACCTACTGTTAGAAATTCAATATGGAATTTGCTTTAATCCATCGCGTACAAACAAATTCTATTTTGGGCATGCACACAGAGTATACCCAATGTACCTATACGTACCTAAAATGACAATTTTTCAAGGAAAACCTAATGGCGTCAATTCTTTCAATTACAATTTTTACCATGCCATGTTTAGTGAGTCTTTAATATCAAGATTTCAAATGCTATAGCACGCTCAACACATTTTTTATGCCCCGATACAGACAATTAATAACAACGGGACCAATTTAGTCGCATTAGGAACACCATTAGATTTTCAACTCTATATTTTTGTCGTAAAGTCGAAACGTCTGTATTTACTTCAGATAAACATAACAAAGCATATATTTATCTGAGACATGCGAGAATCACGCGCAATCAATCATTCCCACACCTTAATGCACTTTGTATCAGTCGGGCTTTAAGTAATTCCTATCGCTGTTTGATAATAATAAAAATAATGCATTTATGCATTGTTCCTTTAGTCACAAATCTGATATAATCATATGAGTTTTATTCGAGTTAAGTAGTATTTAGCAAAAACGGTCGTGGTCGGTATTTAGCAAAAACTTCAAACCTTTTTCGACACACATGAAATAGAACACCCTGTGACTTTTGAAAATTAAAAAGTTACGTGACTCGCGAGTCTGTTGTATGAATCGAGGATTAATGAATGACTGCCTCGTTGGCCGAGTGGTCGTTAGTGCGATTGGGTTCGATTCCCGGGCAGGGCAAAGTATATCTGGGTTTAAAAAAAATCTTAGTAGCAGCATGGAGTCTGAAATTGTGCCCGCTATATGGCAATAGGCTCACCACCTATTACATGGGACTCATAACATTAATAGTGAACAGTGAGTGTTACAGTGTACATTGGCATTAAGTGTCGTAATGTGCACCTCTGCCTGCCCTTTCGGGGATAAAAGACGTGATGTTATGTTGATAGAGGATTGATGTGTAAAAAGATAAACCCCATAATACATGCTCAAAGCGGATTAACTACTGGATGTTTATGTTTGAGTTATGTTTATGTTTGTGTATTACGCGATGTCACCTTTGTATATCTATTTTATAATATTGGAGATTACTTAAAGCCTGGTTAGGTATATAGTTATCTATCATTTATAGTCAATAATAACTCTTAAGTTATCTCTACCAAAGCTTTAAATCCTTAGGTAGTACGTGCAATGGAGTTTTCTTTGATATCCGTCTATTATCACTTACTCCTTGCCATTGCAGTACATCCAATTAGAACTACTATAAAAGAGACGCAATAATGAAACGACAAAACATCAAATAGAAAGCCTTAAAATTTGTTAAGTTCGTTTTTGCGATGTCGAGATGGCGCTAGCGAGGTTTTGAGGGTCTGTTTGTAATATTAAAATAACCGCCTTTTACTACATGCATATGAATATGCATGCGATACACACAACAAAAAAACATGATATTTTCAAAATTTTTACTGTCTGTCTATTTGTACTGGCTTATATGTGGAATAGCTGGACCGATTTTGCAAGACTTTTATTGGCAGTGAGCTCATGTACTAAGCAGTAACAACGGTTACTTTTTTTTTATTTATTTATTCAAATAGGTATACCAACAGCTTCTGTATACATAGCATTAAGTGATATATTACTTTTAATTTTGAAAATTGACACAGAAATAAAGTTATGTTCTAAAATTTGTGTTCCATTTGGACACATAGTCGCGGGCAACAGTTAGTAAATAATCACTTTAACTAATTCACAGTTGTTAACTCGAAAGCATTTAGTCTTGCGACCGGATCGTTGCGGTGTCTTGGCGATATTCCAGCGTCGACTACTATTGTTTAATTTGATTATCATTGCGTCTAAGCCAACAAAGTTCAACGTTCTAGTAAGGATCGGTAAAATATAAACAGTCATGTATTCTGTTTGTATGTAACTGTGACCTGCTTGAACTAAGATATTACGAATCCAAAAATATGTCTTGTTGTGTTCTATAGGTACTTTCTTTAATGTTACTAAATTTATTTATTTATATTATTACTTAAGGTAGTGTAATTAAAACTAAGAGGGTACGATGGGGTTGGCATATCCATGTGGATAAAAACCCCAAAATAAATAAATAGAATTAAAAAAAATGTAACTAAATGAAAAGTACTTAATGTCTAATAATGTACACGTTATACTGATAAAATGTTCCGTGTAGGGAATGGCAATCTAATCCACGAGATATTGTAGATTTGTAGAACAACCCATAACGGGACTCTTGTCAAAGACAAAGCATTTATTTAAATTAAACCATAATTTGGTATTTTTGAAACGTCGACAAATATACAATATGTAATTATAATAGTTTGTCAGGCTGTCCGTCAGTGAAGCTAGGTGCTCGTTCCAAAATAGATTCGAATGGAGAAGAACGAGCAAGAAAATCCATTCCTTGAATCTGGTTATTGCACCAATAACAACCATGTAGTATGATGAATTGATTTTCATTTAGCCTATGTCTCGGAAATTGCTATGGATAAGGTACTTTATTTAACCCTTTGAGTACCGTCATTATAGACACAATTAAAGAACAATAGGTTGCGGTCACCGGTGTCCTCGCGGTGTTTGACAGTTTAAGTTACAAGTTCCAATTTATGTGATTCTAATAAGTACTACGACACAAAAAACCTCATCAAATATCGAAGTCCAGGTTCTTATAGGATATTATTCGTTAATAATGACTTTGTAGTACATTAATAATGTTAATTCCTTACTTAAGTATGTTATCAAGAAGTTCATACAACGTCATTCGATGACCAGGTCAAAGTACAGGTCTCCATAGATAAATCAAACTCAGTTTTTCATTAGGCTAATAAGTGGTTAAGCGAAACGTGTTTCCATACTAGTTTGTCAAGATAATTTTAATAAATATCTAGTGGTTGCGTAGGTAGGTACCTACTTTGTAGTATCGTAGTAGAAAACTTGTGAAACAAGGCCCAATACTTTTTTTTTTCTTTTTGTCAACGGAGTCTCCAATACAGTGTTGTCGACTATACTGCCAGTGTTTCTTATCTTCTTTCTTTGGCTCAAAATAATTGACATTAGATTTTCACGTCTTACCATAGACGTAGGTAATATATGACATTATAATTATATGTATGACTAATTACTAGCTACTATAGTTTCAGATTGACGTATTTGATAAACGTATTTATTTATGCATTTTCAATATAAATGTTACTAATAGGGAAATTTATTAAATAACATTGTTATTCTGTTTAATTATTATAATATGGTATTAATTTAGCACTTCTAAGAAATGGCAAGTTTATGAAGTCATAGTTTGAAGTTACTAAGTATGTCTGTATGACTCCATAACATACTACTAATATTATGAATGCGAGAGTCTGTAAGTTTGTTTGTAGCAGAAGCTAATTTTAATATAGAGAAACAACTACTTGACTAAGTTACTTATATTTCGATTTATTATCGCTGAAATCGGTGAAGACACTTATTGTTTAAAAGTTTTAAAACTTTTAAAGTTTCTTTTCTAAAACAATTCTTAGAGATTTGTAACCTGTAACTATTTACGGTGATACAAACTATTGTATGTAATGCATAGTTTTGTCTGCATATGTTTAACCCTTTGAGTACCGTCATTACAGACACAATGAAATTAAAGAACAATAGGTTGCGGACACCAGTGTCCTCACGGTGTTTGACAGTTTAAAACGCACTATCACGCATTGCACTGTCACCCCTAAACTCCTATAAGTACTTTTCAGTAACCTCGTCTGCGGTAAACCCTTGTTTAGACAATACACATGTTTAATTCTTGAACGACAAGCTAGCTTTTGCCAGTGGCTTCGCTCGCGTGCTCATGGAATAAAAAATACCCTATGTGTTATTCCAGATCATATCTACCTCTGTTCCAAATTTCATCCCGATCCGTTCAGCCGTTTTGACGTGAAGGAGTAACAAACAAACATACAAACTTTCGCATAAATAATACTAGCTTTTACCCGCGGCTTTGCTCGCGTCACAAAAGAATAAAAAGTAGCCTATGTGACATATACCAATACACACAGCGCCATCTATACCAATACTTTTGTTTTTCCTTGGGAATATCAATTATTTCCGGGTTAAAAAGTACCCTATTATTCAATCCGGACTTCTAACTTTACGTCTGAAAAAATTCAAAGCAATCGGTTGAGTAGTTACGGCGTGAAGGTGGAACAAACAAACAAACAAACTCACTTTCAGATTTATAATATTATTAGTAAGGATTAAGTAGGATTGTCCTTGTTTCCTCATAGGATACATTAAAAAGCACGCGTTTAACCGCAACCAGACTTATTGGTACTTATGGCACGCGTTGATTTAATTTTTCATGGCGCAGGCGCAGCACACGCTCTGTAAACCGCATTGACGTCATACATCCGAACTGTTCGACTGTTCATACAATACTTGCATCCTTGATTGTTTGTAGCAATTTTTTTCATAATTTGACTTCCAAATTTTCTGCTTTATTGACTATGCGAGGTATAGGTATTGGTATTGTTACCCAATTGAGAAACACAACGCGTCCTCTGATATCGATCTGTATTGACTCAAAAACACTTTTTGCGTAATCGGTTTATCCAGAATAGTGTACCTAAGTACTTAGATTCAAGTGCTTTTTAATGTACACAATTTCATTTTATGACGGAAAAACCCTGTTGCTTGTATTGCAAAATCAAAAACGTGAACTCGCATACCTAAGTTACTATCTATGGTGCCCATCTTTGTCCTATATAATCAGTGATTAGCGCTTATATTTTTTGTATCTTGTTATACTTATACCTATTTCTCTACTCACATTCTAATCTTCATCAAAGTAACATCCAAATTGTATCCTAAAATAAACGAGGACTTAACGCAGTGTCTATTTTGGGTCAGAATAACCTCCACTATCTGCATAAAGCAGTTCTGGAGTTTCTGCACTATACAAACACTATTTAAATATGCAAATGAGGCTTATTTATCAACCAACATGTGCAAAAAATGGCAGATTTAAGTAAATCACTCTACCATACGTATGGACGTGATTTATTCGCATTGAAATTCTGCTACAGTTGCATTGCGACGTTCATTTTGTCCTCAAATTGATAACGTTGGTGTGGCGTTGATGGAAAATTATTTGATTCTTATTAATATTTTCATAGAATTATTAGAGATCTTGTAAACATTGGAATGTTGTATTTAAGTAGTTAATTAATAAACTGCCTCGTTGACCAAGTGGTCGCAAGTGCGGCTGCCGGGCAAGGGGTCTCGGGTTCGATTCCTGGGTAGGGCAAAGTATTACTGGGTTTTAAAAACATTCTCAGTAGTAGCACGTTGTCTGGAATTGTGCCCGGTATATGACAATAGGCTCATCTCATCTCCCTATTACATGGGTCTCGTAACATAAATAGTGAAAAGTGGGTGTTACATTGTAGCGTGGCATAATGTGTACCTCTGTCTTTCGGGGATAAAAGACATCATGTTATGTTATGTTATTAAATTAATAAATTTCTGAAGTTCTATATCTTTCTTCTTTGCACCCCTGGAATAAAACAATTGTTAGCGTCTAACTGATAAAAAACAAGCTGTTGTGTCTCTTTGCATGGAGATGCAAAGCAGAATCTTTGTCTAGTATTTCCAAAATCTATTTATTTTGGGCAAATACTTACCTGTTACGAGTTTTTAAGTATAGTTAAGAACACCTGAACATGGGAAATCTGTACCTTCTTTTGAATTACTGTTGTGACATGCGCAATGACTCAGTCTTATTTTGGAATCTTTGTTCCGGAGTAAACCTTGAATTCCATACGTGTAAACATTTTCATTTTGTTTGTGTATTGCGTTGATGTTTCACCGAATATAATGTATTAGTTCAAAAGTACTACATACATACACAAACATAGATACATTTTAAGAAAGGATTTTATTGTATAGATCTTCTAAATGAGCTGTAAAATAACTATTATATGAAACTGCTTTCTATATCCCTAATGATTTGCATACCCAAAGTTAAAATTAAAGCATTTCTTTTAACCATATAGTTAAAATTAATTTGCAATCTACCTGTCAGTCACATCTTGACTTCCATTATTTTCTATTTCAAATAGTCATTAAGTTCATCAACACGTTAAACGCCATGGGGGTCACCGGTGACCGGCGTTAGCAGAGGATTTACCTTCAACAGTTTTTTATTGGCAGTCAAAGTCTTAATAATCAGAAATCTAAAATCCACAAAGCTATCCAATAGTTAATAATTAATTCCTTATTCTCTTATTCCAGTCCCAGAAACTGAATCGGAGCATCCAAAGATGCAGAACCCTGAAGGCATGGAGGAGGTATCGACAGAGCTCTCATACATGAAGGCTCTGGACGGCTTCGTACTAGTGCTGTCTCAGCAGGGCGACATTGTGTATTGCAGCGAGAATATTGCAGACCATCTTGGTGTTTCACAGGTGAGATATTGCTGCATTATGTTGGGATTAGCATTCTGGTGGTTTATAATCTATGTCTTTTGTACGCTATGCCATTTAACATGTTGATAAACGACCTAATTTAAAAACTGGTCTTAATTTTTATTATCTGGATCGATCTAGGTTTTGATAGAAACTGATTAGAATAGTAAGTATTTACTCATTGTGTTCATTCATAGTTCGAACAGCTTTTGAAGTAAAGAAACTCGGTTCATTAAATGACTGGTAGACCAGTTTGATATTATTTAAATAAATATTTTTACTGATTTAAGTACTGTCTTGTTTATCCTCACGTAGATATGAGATAGATAACAATTTTCAAAAATTTTTCCTTCATTTGAGTTTATTTTCATCATTATCGATACCTACAGTCAGATAAAAAATCATCTTCAGATAATATGTCAATAACAAAGATTATTCGATTCGAGGTTAACTATACAGGTGTTATATTTTTACTATACCTTACTTACTAAATTAGTCAGTCCTTAATGCCAGAATATACTAGAAATGATAAGAGCATAATTATTGTAAGCATTATAAATAATCTTAGAATAACATTAATGTGGAGTAGGTCAGAGAGTGACGTACATAGCTTAACCTCCCTTTCCCCCTCTGCTTTCCATCAAAAAGATAACCACTGGTAATTTATATGAAGTTGTGGGTGTCCAATAGTGTACATGAATGACATTTCATGTGTTCAAGCAAACGACCAGACCGTTTGCTCCGATACGCCATAAAAAACTTACAATTTAAATAATTCATACATCTCATTGTGATAATTATAAAAAAACCCTGAAAAACCGCATCATGCTACATCAGCAAAAAATGGCAGCCATTGGTTGTTTTATAAAAATGTCTAATCATTCCACCAATCACATTAGAACACCTTTAAAACCGACCAATGAACGCGCGTTAATTTACATGGCGACGCATACAATTGTATTTTTGACACGTGCCACAAAGAGTGCCATACAGTTTAGTATCTAATTATGGGTTCTTGAATACAAATATACCGATCATCCATACAAGGGAAACCTCATAAGGAAAGATATTACAATTTAGTTTAAAATGTTGTCTGCAAGCCCTGTTTGGATGAATTGTTATATTAAAGTTATATTAAGCCATTGCCATGGCTGATTAAGTTTCTGTTATCTTAACTGATGTCGGAATACTGAAACGCTACTCAATTTTAAGTCGCGCTTAAGTATAGTATACTTAAGTTCTGTCCACTAATTCTTTGTAAAATGACTGAGATGGCACGATATTTAAGCACGACTTAAAATTGAGTAACGTTTCAGTATTCCGGCATGAGACATTTAAAATTGAAGTTACGGTGATTAGATTAAACTAGTTTTTACCATGAGCATTGTCCATCGCCCGCGTTCCCGTAGAATAAAGAATAGCTTATATGTTAATCCAAATAACAATCTACCTCTATTCCATACATCTCGATCCCTTCGGACATTTTTATGTGATTGAGTATCAAGCACACGCACAAAGATTCGCATTTGTTATATTAGTAAGACTAGCTACTTCCGCGCGGTTTCACACGCTCTGCTCAGCTCCTATTGGTCGTAGCGTGATGTTTTATAGCCTATAGCCATCCTCGATAATAGCGCTATCCAACACAAAAAGAATTATTCAAATCAGACTTGTAGTTACGGAGATTAGCGCGTTCAAACAAAAAAACAAACTCTTCCGCTTTATATAATAGTATAAGATTAGACTTGACCAAAGTCTTAATGGCACTATTCTAATGGTTTGTATACAAGATGTTGCTAAATATATAAGAAACCAATACTAGGATACGGATGATGGTGACGTAGTATATTAATTTAAATAGCTCTGGAATAACCAATAGAAATATTTACAAGTTGGTCATATCCGGCTATTATCGGACTAGCATCAAAGATTACAATAATCGATTCAATTAACAACGCGAATTGACAGATAATAATGTGTTGCCAACAGTTTGTTTCTGGTAGAATACACATACACATCGTTCATTCACCAATTTAGAAAGCAAAAACCTAGACATAGCGGCTGTAAAAAGTTGCGGAATACCATTTGATTCTTTTCAAGAAGATATTTTATAAAGGACCTCAACGATAGTGGCTTCAACAGAATTAGTTGACAAACTTAGTAAAAGTTTTACGCCACAGTATCACACAACTTTTGCTAAACATAGGACTATCAAACCCAGATTGGTTTTAAGAAAAATACGACATACCTAACAAATATACCAATTTTCCATTGCGTATAACATAACATAACATCACGCCTTTTATCTCCGAAGGGGTAGGCAGAGGTGTACATTATGCCACTGTACAATGTAAAACCCACTTTTCACTATTTATGATATGAGCTCCATGTAATAGGGGGTGAGCCTTTTGCCATATACCGGGCCCAATTCCAGACTCTGCTACTATTGTGAATTTTTGAAAAACTCAGTAATACTTTGCCCGACCCGGGAATCGGACCCGAGACCCCTTGCCCGGCAGTCGCACTTACGACCACTCGGTCAATGAGGCAGGCATTGCGTATAAAATTGCAGAAATCATTGGAAATGAAAGTTCGAAACAGTCATGATGATTTCAGCTGTTTAGTCTATGACTGGATGTTATTGTCTCTACACTATATTTACCCATATGTCACAATTATAGTTAAGAATAATTATTTGCATTGATACAAATCTTATCGCTTCATTATCATGTACAAATCATAACATTCATATGAAATAACCATACGTAATAAGTAAAGTGTGAACGTAAACAATATTTGCTAAAGAAAATGTGAAGTGCTAATAATAAAATAATCTTTGAGTGCAAATCTGTTTGTTTTAAAGTCACCAATCTCTGGAACTACAATTATAGTATCATTTATCGTCCACTATTCATAACATTTAATTGTTGTCTTAATTGTATGATAGCCATTGGGGGCGCCCCTATCGCTAATGGTGATCTCTTTCCAAGGACTTCAGAATCGAGGATTTGTTTTGGTCATTTCGGTAGTTTAATTATTTGGGATGATTGTTTGGAATTATTATTACTATAAGGCTATACTTTTTTATGGACTAAGCCGGTAAACGAGCTCACGGATTACTTACCTGATGGTAAGCAATAGGCAGTGCTCATGGACGTCCGAAACACCACAGGTGTTACGAGTGCGTTACCTGCCTTTTGGGGATTAGGAGTTTGAGAATTATTGGGGATTCGGGGATTGAGGAGATTGGAATGGGGATAATTAGGCCTCCGGTAACCTCACTCACACGACGAAATACGCAATGTTGTTTCACGTCGGTTTTCTGTGAGGCCGTGGTATCACTCCGGTCGAGCCGGCCCATTCGTGCTGAAGCATAGCTCTCCCAGACTTAAAAATGTATACGTAACATTTACGACCCGATTGTTAGGATTTAGGGAAAAACCTACACAGTTATGAATTAGGTAGTCGAATAATCCATCTGCAATCTAGATAATTTCTAGACGAAAGTAACTACCATAAAATAACCATATACATTTTATTGGCAAATAAAAATACACTGCGCCAAATTGTAAAACGTTAGATAAATGCCATTTTTATTTGTCCTCAAACAAACGTAAAATCATCATGATATTTGTTTTTTTGTTATCAAGATTAATCGTAAATTAACTATGGGGTGATTCGATTACATATCGATGTCTGAAAAATATATTCATAAGTATTTATTTCATTGTTCAAAATCATATCCACAAAATTGTTAACTGCCCTGCCATTTCTATTTGGAAGTTCTAAATATAACAACTTCTTACAATCGAACTAATAATAGTACAAAAATTCCTTAAAAATTTTCATTCAAAACAGAAACTCAGACATCAATCAATTCAATACACAATTCTTTTATTTAAACCCGGAAGGGGAGTCCATTCAAAGATCTCTTTTGAAAGTCTTTCAAGCACTTCCAGCCGATGAATAACATTGATTTGCTGGAATAAGGATATCGCTGATGGAAAGTGTATTACCTCATTAGAAAGCTCCTTAATTTGATTGAAACGCTTCAGTCTTGATTGAATTTAAAATCAAAATCCTTTAAAGCTATGGTTGATTAAAGTGTGGGTAATGTTTTGGTTGGAAATTCGTGTGCTAAGTGGTGGAGTAGTCTTTGGGATAAATGTTTCTTAAGTTCCCTTTTAAATGTCGTGGTGGCCCGGAGGTTTAAGACCTGCCTTTCATGCCTCAACGGCACGCACCAATGTGACTTTTTCCGATTTATATGTACTTTCTAAGATTATCTAGATACCACTGACAAACGGTGAAGGAGAACATCATGAGGAAACCTGGCCTTATAATTTCTAATTATGAGTTTGAAATGGCCAACTCGTATTGAGCAAGGGTGGTAATTAATGCTCAAGCCTTCTCCGTGTGAGAAGAGGCTTTGCTCAGCTGTGGGAATTTATAGGCTGTTAATGAAGTTCTATTTTCTTCTAAGACACCTCTAAAAGTTACACCCTTCATAATGTCCATACCAATGCGACTGCGACACATACTTTAAGATTACAAAACAAAAACAAATCTTAACATTTCAATGTCATGGTTCAAAATGTTGTGGTAACTGGTAGAACCGGTTTTTACTATAACCTTCATTTGTATTTGTCTCAGCAACTTAATAGGCTCAAATGTAACCATAATTGATTACCCATGCTTATGGACCTTATGGTTTCGTAGCTCTAAAGAAAATAAAGAAAAAAAGCCTTTTGTTTTTGTTGCGCACGAGTTGTTTCTCTTTGTTGCGCAGGAGTTGAGATTTGTTTTGTCCTTTAAATGTATTTTTATAATTTGTAAAGGTGTGGCATTGTTTTCATATATTACACCTTTCAAAAATCATGATTGGTTATTGGTAGATATTTTTTCACATTTAACATGTTTAATTTACTGATAATTCCCTTTTATCATAGTACGCCAATAAGTGTTCAGTTTATCAGCTTTATCTAACAATGATGCAATAAAACGTTAGTCCTTAACTTCTAAGATATAAGGACTATATTAAACTTCAGTTTAGAAGCACATGGTGTAACACGAGTGTTCAGCAGACGCGCAGGCGCATACATATAGGTCGTCGGCATTGTTACGTCACACGATCTAATGGAAGATTTTGTTTGATTTACAATTACGAACCTTGAGTACATAGTAATATGGAGCATATTGTACATACATATACATTTGTTTTTCAAATATATAAAAGCAATCTTGGATATGGGTCAATGTTAAAGCACCTATGTAAAAATAACCGTTATATTTAGCATTCGTTGTACTTCTAATGCGATGGTGTACTTGTGATGGGTATTATAATGTATTTTTGGAGTCTTTGTTTTTCATCTTGAATGAAATGAAAGGCAGTTTGTTTAAATTTAATCTATCTATCAACATCTCATGAACAGCTCTTTATAGACCACTACTAGGCTGCCTTTAAGTTTTGTCATAATTCCTATGGTTACCAGTGGGGTAAAGAGTTAGAGACCGCAGCAGCATGATCAGGATAATAAGAGAGATCTACTGCCCGGTCTCTGTGTATTCTTTTCGCCCGAAATTAATAGGTAAGCGATCGTAATCAAAGGCTAAGGACTGGGGGGTATCGGCGATGTTAAGCGATGCTGTCCGATTTCGCCTTACATAATTATGGCGACAACGGGCGACTTATGTCACAGTGATATCGATGTTTTTTTAAGGGGGGATAATCATCGAATGACTTCTCCCTCCTGGTTATCACCCCGTTCCTACTCCTGCACTTCGAGCTAGCGATGTCGATGTTGTCAGACATGTCAACCAAAGTCCGGCAACGTCGCGGTACTTCACCCAACGTCACTGCCGACGGGTGTCGCAGGACATTAGTATTTTGACTAATGAAAGCTCTGAATCCATCTGTTTTTAGCAGCATCTGCTATAACTATAATTAGTGTCATACAAAAATCGATCTTCATCCACAGATTTTGGACTAGTTTTTAATTATTTTCGCTTTTAACTTTTAAAACCACGACTATAAAAATTCCACAACATTTGTTTATACAAAAGTAGTCTCTAATAATCTGAAATAAGTAAGTGGAGTGCAGTCACCGGTGACCGCTTGGGGACGCGGCAGTAGTCCGGACAGTTTAATAAAACCCATTCGTCATACAGCCGTCATTTATGTCTTCTATTGAGGGCTCTATTCAAAAACGTATTATTCAACTCGTGTAACACATATTCGGTAATGTGAATATAGTATCGGCACACACATCTAATAATGTATTCAATTCACATTAGCATACAATTACTTTTTCGATGACGCTAAGGCGCCTAGATTTGTACCCATATGTGCGCAACTGAGTGTAACATTATAAATTCTTAGAATTCAATTTGTTTTCAATTTAATGCAGTGGTATAAGGAAATTTTGTGTTTAGGCATGAAACAATGGCTTGTTATAGGTATTTTGATTATGAAAATGCATAAGTATTGAATAAGATGGCTGTATTGTTTGTTAATTTATTCAATTTATGCATATTACTAATATTAAACGTATGCATTTAAAACTGTATTTAACGATATACGTATCTCGTGACCAGAGGACTGGTTTGTTCCTCGGTCAGAGGTTAAGCATTGCCATACAACGTGGCAATGCTTCCAGCCTTCTGGGTACTTTCCTAGCTGACATCGATGCGGACAAATTTTTTGACGCTCTTTGTAATTATTATTTTAAGGTTTTTAATTTTTTTTAATTATTAAGTTGTATATTTTTAAATGTATTATGTTAGAAGTTAATATAGGTACAAATATGTAATATGTAGGATAATACGGGAACAAGTAACGCACAATTTTGATTTATTTAAAACAGAAAGTTTAATGTTATCATCAAATCAAATAAGATCAAACATGTATGTACGTGAATTTTTTTTTAAAAACCCTAATATTTTGCCCGACACTGGAATCGAACCCGAGACCCATTGCCCGACATGCTCATTTGCAACCACTAGGCCAATTACTAAATGTATAAATATACCTACATAAAGTTAATTTAGGTTTGGCACTAGGTCCATCCAGATTTAGCTGAAGATGGCCACAAAACTACTAGAAGCACGATTCTATTCTTATAAATATTATTATTAAATATTAATGTTATACTTTTTAAATTACAGATGGAAATCATGGGCCAAAGTGTGTTCGAGTTCAGCCACCCTTGCGACCACGATGAGATCCGCGAAGCTCTGCGTTCCACCACATCGGGCCGTCGTGATCTGCTGCTCCGGCTTAAGTGTACCCTCACCAGCAAAGGGAGGAATGTGCATCTTAAGTCTGCTTCTTACAAGGTATTAAGGAATTCTGGAAAGTTCTTTAAATATATCTAATTTAATCTGACGAAAAGGTACTGGAATTTTAAAATGTGATCAATATTAGTCATTATTATAGAAACTAGCTTTTACCCGCGGCTTCGCTCGCGTCACAAAAGGATAAAAAGTAGCCTGTGACATATAACGATATACACAGCGCCATCTATATCATACTTTTGTTTTCCCTCGGGAATATCGAATTTTTCCGCGATAAAAAGTACCCTATTATTTAATCTGGACTTCTAATTTTACGTCTGCAAAAATTCAAAGCAATCGATTTAGTAGTTACGACGTGAAAGCGGAACAAACAAACAAACAAACTCACTTTCCGATTTATAATATTAGTAAGGATAATAGAATATGAGCCTTTAGCATGGCTTGAAACTAGTCGAGCTCCACCTCAAACAGTTACGTGAGTAAGCCAACATAATAATTAGTTTAGCATAGAAAGGATCGAGAATATCAGTGATGGGGAAGGAACATAAAAACAGACCTTTTTACTCAATTAAATATACATTATATGATATAGAAGGCCATACCATTTTACTTGGTCTATTCTAAAAAATCGTTCAGAAGACTAAAATAAAAACTTTAAACCTAAAATCAAGGCCTATAAGTAAGATATTCGGTTACCCATAGACTTTGTTCAGAGTATACCTACAACGTAATACCGTATTTAAGCTAATAAAATACGTAGCAATATAAACATAATTATGCACACTGTTGCTTAAACTAACCGTTCCCTTTCACGACGTGAACCTTGGACCACAGTCAATACGTTCATGTGACTCACTCATTCAAAGTGTGGACCAATAAGGTGATAAATTTTTCGTTTGGTGGTAGGCTTCGGCCGCCGGCTTTATGACCACCCATCGAGCAAAAGCGTGTCGCCAAGCGGCCCAGCCGTGTTCCGCCACGATGCTCGGTGACGCCGTATGAGAGGATGGGTCGAGATGGTTGTTCCACTGTAGGATAGCCGGTCTGGCGCGCGCTGGTGTAGCTACACCGGGTGTCCAGTCGCGGAGGGTAGCGGGATCCGAGGCACGGTGCACCGCTGGCCGACCGCAGATAGTTGGGGGCCCAACTAGCGTGCTAGCCACACGTGAAAGGCTGCCCCGCCATCTAGCGAAAAATCCCATGGATACGCCATCGTGCCGGTTGGCGACCGGAGGAGAGGGCCCGATGGATATTCGTGGGGGGGCTCGGGCGTCCCCGCAGTCTCCAGACTGGCCTCCCAATGGTGTGGTTAACTACGGTGCGCGTCGTGGGGTCGCCTGCGTGGGGGACCATTTCACTGCCATCCTCTCAGCAACCTTCCACTCTACATTATGACACTGAGAAATAAGAAAAGGGTTCAACAGCGGCTGCACTCCCTCTCCTTCATAGTGCACCTCTCAAATATTCGAGGTTTGCACTCTAATGTCAATGCGGTCCATCACCACCTCGAGACCGAGAACCCTACACTCTTGTTTCTCTCGGAGACCCAGATCAGGTGCCCGTCGGACGTATCCTACCTGAACTACCCTGGTTTTTCCCTGGAGCACAATTTTGTTCCGCATGCAGGTGTATGCGTATACGTCCGAGACGGCATCTGTTACCGGCGTCTCCGAAACCTTGAAGACCCAAGCTTTTCTGCTCTCTGGATACTGGTGGACATAGGCATGGAGAAAATTCTTTATGCCTGTGTCTATCGGTCGCACAGCGGAGATTTGGAGGCGACCAGATTAGCGCAATACCTCGGCGAAGCGGCGGATGCGGCTCGTCAGGCGTACCCTTCGGCCCAGTTGGTGTTACTGGGGGACTTTAACGCTCATCATCAGGAGTGGTTATTCCCATACCAGTGCACCGACCATGCTGGAAGGGAAATGCGTAAGCTTGCGCTTTCGCTTGGCCTGACCCAGCTGGTCCAGGAAGCCACAAGGGTGCCCGATGTCGATACGCACACTGCCAATTGCTTAGACCTTCTGCTGACAACTGATCCAGACCGCTACTCGGTGACAGTCTCATCACCTCTAGGTAGCTCTGACCACTGTCTGGTGAAATCTGTATCGACACACTCCCCACCAGATCCGAGTCCCAGAGGACCTCGGCGGATGTGGCGATACAAGTCAGCGGACTGGGATGGGATGCGATCTTTTTTCGCTTCCTATCCTTGGCGGCCTGTCTGCTTCTCTTCTGATGACCCGTCAGCTTGTGCGGAAGCCGTAACGGGGGTGCTGCGCCAGGGCATGGAATACTACATTCCATTCTCGGACGTGGCATCTCTGGTGGGACCCGTCCTTGGTTCGATGCCGACTGCGGACGTGCCGAAGCGCAAAAGCAGGCGGCATACTTGGCATGGGCGGATGCCAGGCGCCGTAGGGCTGATGACATTCATCAAAAGAAGAGAGCCTTTAATCGGGCTGCCAAGTCATGCAAAAAGGCATTACGGATGGCTCGATTTAACCACATTGGCCGTATAGGGAACAAACTAGCTTCCTACCCAGCGGGAAGTAAAGCTTTTTGGTCCCTGGCCAAGGCGGTTGAATCGAACTTCTGTCGCTCCTCACTTCCTCCGCTCCTGAGGTCTGACGGGACGCTGGCTCACACTGCGGTAGAGAAAGCAAATCTATTTGCTTCTCTATTTGCGGAGTCTTCGCGTCTTGACACTGGTGGCGCCTTGCCTCCTTCTGTTAATAGCGTATGCAAGACGAATATGTCGCAAATTCGCATTCGACAGAGGGAGGTATATAGGACGCTACGCGATCTGGACGTGAACAAGGCCAGTGGTCCCGACGGAATCCCAGCCCTGGTTTTAAAAACCTGTGCGCCTGAGTTGTCTCCAATCTTGACACGTCTGTTTCGCCTTTCCTTGGAGACGGGTCTAGTACCGGTTGCTTGGAAGCTGGCCAACGTACAGCCTGTGCCTAAAAAAGGTAGTCGTGCCGACCCTAACAATTACCGCCCTATTTCGGTCACGTCCATACTCTGTAAGAGCATGGAACGTGTTCTTAACAATAGACTCCTGGCATACCTTGAAGGTAACGATCTCCTCAGCGATCGGCAATACGGGTTTCGACGTAACCGATCGACTGGGGACCTTCTTGCGTATGCCACTCACATATGGAGCGAGGCCATAGAGGGGCACGGAGAGGCACTAGCAGTCTCCCTCGATATTTCGAAGGCCTTTGACAGGGTATGGCACGACAGTCTAATCGGCAAGCTTCCTGCATATGGACTTCCTACTGGTCTGTGCAGATGGATAGCAGACTTTCTGAGGGATCGGTCAATACGAGTAGTCATCGATGGCTGCTCGTCTGACCAATTCGGTATTAATGCCGGCGTCCCTCAGGGGTCAGTACTTTCAGCGACGCTCTTTTTGCTGCACATAAACGACCTGCTTAAGCCCGGTATCTTTGGGTATGCAGATGACAGCACAGTTGTTGAAAGGTATGTGTCCGGTGCGCGGACTAGCGGAACACAGATCCAGTCTTTAAGAGAATCCATGGTCGAACGTTTGAACTCGACCTTGAAGGCGGTGTCCGACTGGGGTGACGCCAACTTGGTTAGGTTCAATGCTAGCAAGACCCAGGCGTGTCTATTCTCCGCCAAACGGAGTCAATTTCCGCTGACTCCTACTTTCCGGAATGTATCCGTACCGATAACCGATCGTCTTGAGCTTCTTGGTGTAACTCTGACGCCCACGCTCAACTTTGGCTCCTATATAGAGTCAAAAGCGCAACTGGCTGGTAGGAAGTTGGGTGTCCTTTGGAGGGTGAGACGGTACTTCACGCCGAAACAATTGCTGAGCCTGTACCAAGCACAGGTTCGGTCCTGTATGGAGTACTGCTCTCATCTTTGGACCTCGGCTAAATATCAGCTGGACGCGTTAGAGCACATTGAGAGGCGTGCCAGGAGGCTCATCGACGATGATGCGCTTGTGAAGGCTCGGCTTCAAAGCCTCGAACACAGGCGTAAGGTTGCAAGCCTTTCGGTTTTCTACCGGATACATTTCGGGGAGTGTGCGGGGGAATTGCACAACTTGATTCCCCCTAGTCCTTTCCATCATCGTACCACAAGACAATCCGCGAAGCGTCACCGATTCATGGTAGATGTTCCGCCCACACGCACGAAGCGCTTTGCTTCAAGCTTCCTTGTGCGTACTGCTAAAGAGTGGAATTCTTTGCCAGAGTCTGTATTTCCTGAAGGGTATAACCTGGGAGTCTTCAAGGCCCGAGTGAATAGGTTGCTTATGGGACGACGTGCTCCAACGTAGACCGCATCATCGCTTACCAACAGGTGAGATAGTGGTCAAACGTCGCCCCATCAATTATAAAAAAAAAAAAAAAAAAATAAAGACTTTAACTGCCAATAAAAAACTGTTGACGGCAAATCCTCCGCTACCGCCGGTCACCGGTGACCCCCATGGCGTTTAACGTGTTAAACTGTTTTGTGATGACATTTTATAGCATGTCATTGAATCAGGGGCGTAACTACTGCCGTGTCTGCCATATCAATTATATGGAGCCCATGGTATATCTGTACAAGAATAAATAAAAACTTCCCAATTTTTATAACTACAAATGTCAAAATTAACTATTCTTCCGACGACATTAACTTTAGACAAACTAAAGTTATCATAATCTGATAATTTGGGCACAGGGAGTTGTCTAGAAAGTATTCCGATTTGCACAAAAAATATTAGTATGCCAAAGTATTTTTATGCCAAAAAATTTGTCGCTTGTGAGAAATCTTTATCGTTCATAAGGCCAAACAAATTTTCATACGGAATCCCGCCAAGGCGCTACGCCACTGCATCGAAGTAGAGTCAATGGTGATGTTGGACTGAAATTCCATACAACGATTATAAAAAATCAATCCATATCCACAGATTTAGAATTGAGATAGATTATTAATTACAACCGTTAGTTTACCTGATCATGGGGTTCTTCAAGAAAGGAGGCAATAGGTTTTTTAGGGGCGGCAAGGCGCCTCTTAAAAAGCCTATTGACTTCCAAGTGTTGCAAGCGTACATAGGCCACGGTAACCGCTTACCATCAGGTGGGCCGTGTGCTTTATTGCCACCGTCGTGGTATAAAAAAAACTGATCCTAACCATGAATATGTTGGATCTTTTCCAAAGATGTCTCACATCAAAAATTATAACTAAAAGTATGAACAGCACAAAAAACTGAGTATTCCAGTAGTTTTATGGCTCTGTAAATATCCATGTTTACTTAACTGAGATAGTATTAGGTAACCGTTTTATTGGCGGAATTTGTTAACATTCGGCGGTGGCGTAGTTGTAAAAACCCAGAGGTAGAAGTTAGGTATATGTATCACCACTTGATATGGTCAACATTGTTGCAAAGTATAAACTGGGACCTTACAAAACATCATAAATTATTTTAAAGTTAAACGTATGGACACTTGAACCGTTGTGTCTTTATTTTTATAGTAACTATCGTGAGACATACTAAATTCACTAAAAATAACGATTTACTCACATGAATATATGTACTGAGAAAAGCTCTACTAGTTTCGAGTCACAGAGGGACTCTTCCTCGTAAGCATCGTGCACGGACGCGGTGACGTCGCGCAGCCAATAGGCTGGAAGTATCTAATAGTGGTGTCTTTAATAGTAAAATAATGATACATACTGCCATTGAACGCAGGTTTATTATAGGTACATTTGTATGTCATTAGTAAATTATTACTGTAAATGAAATTATGGACGTGGTGGCCCCGTGGTCCTGAGGTTTAAGACGCCTGCTTCTCATGCATGAGAGTGCGGGTTCGAAACCTACCAACAGCAAGTACTAACGTGACTTTCTCAGAGTTATATGTACTTTCTAAGATTATTTAGACACCACTGACAAACGGTGAAGGAAAACATCGTGAGAAAATCTACACTTATAATTTTTAACTATAAGTTTCAAATTGCCAACCCGCATTGAGCAAGAGTGGCGATTAAAGCTCTAACCTTCTCCATGTGAAAAGAGGTTTTGCTCAGCAGTGGGCATTTATAGCCTGAGATGATGATGATGAAATCAGATTATGCAATAACATAAATTATACTTTCTACAAATAAGTTCACTATACAAGTAAAATTGAAAGTGCTTGTGTTCATATTGAATGAATATCATGTTCAATATTGACATGACTTCTATTAAATACTCATTCCGGTTAAAGTCAATAGTAAGAAGTTAAATGTGGAAGTAAGCGAATCGTATATTTTACATATGGTGTTAGAGTTCAAAGACCTTTTTTAATATTTGGAAAGATAAATGAATATTTTGAAAATCTCATGGCACTATAAGTAAGATAGGAAATAGATGATGGGAAGTTAATGGTAGACCAACAGAGGAATGACTTAATATAATCGTATGTGGACCTCATAGGAAAGAAAGTAGTGATAAAGTCAGGTGTTTATATTAAAACTTTTTGGCTTACTCACTCACTGTTAGATAAGGAACTCGACTACTAATGCTGCTCATGAATATGAGCCTCTAGCATGGCTTGAAACTAGTCGAGTTCCTCGTCAAGCAGTTACATGAATTAAATAAGCCGAAAACATAATAATTAAAGTCAGGTATGAAGTATTCTTAACCTATTCTTATTCTTTAAGAACGCTTGTAATGTAATATGATGCTGGTGCTTGAATATGATGGAAGTTAAAGACGTATGTAAGGACCGTCTTAGCTGGCGCTTTGGACCAAACGTAGTTCTAAAAACATTGATAAAAGTAAGTGCTATTTAAACGTCATAAAGAGTATCTGTAGTATAAATAAATACGGATATTGATGGACATACAAACAGAGTGCTGAACTAAATTATTGTTTGTTTAATTTAAACTTAGTCTGCGTGTACTAGCCTTGAATACTTCCATCGTAGCTCATTATTTAGATATTGGTTTATTGGTAGCCTGGGATGTTGTATTTAGTTCTCATGTATTCACCTAGAATTAGGTGTTGGAAGGCAGACGAAGGTGAGTCTTAATACAAATTAGACTAGAGTATCAAACTGAAGATTTAGCGCTAGTTCGAAGGAAATATGAAAGTAAAAAATAAAAAATTTAATAAAAATCGTTTATTAAACACAAAACCTTCCAAAAAATGTAACAGTAGTCTAATCATTATACAATTATGGTAAATTATAAATACTAAAAAATTATAAAAAAACAACTTACATTGAATTAATCAAAGATAAATTTAGGATGAGTACAATTAGGTTTTTTTTAAACTGTAGCGTTTTTTAAAGTGAAAGTTTCATTCATGAAAAGCAGAACGAAAAGTAAATAACATGCTGGAATTTGGTTAAAGTTTTAGAATAGTTATTACGATTAAAGACAAAATGCACTGCTGTGTAATTTTTCGCTTGTGACAATTGAAAAGCTACAGTTAATCGGAATAATTGTTTGAAGAAAAGCATCATTATTCGCTATTCTTACAACTGTAGGTATACTTGAATAAAAAAGTATACTTCAACTATAAGAATGTGTTATTTTGTTATTGTAATAACTATCGTGAGACATACTAAATTAACTAACTAAATTCATACTAAAAAATTACTCACGTGAAAATGTTGAGAAAAGCTCTACTAGTTTCGAACCACAGAGGGGTTCTTCCTCATGAGCAGCGTGGGCGGTCGCGCAGCCTACTCGTGTATGTTATTTTGACAAAATACCCATAAGTTCTAATTGCCACTACATTACTACACCATCACTCTTCATAGCACAAACAAATAAAAAAAAAGGAAATTCTAAGCCCCCTTCTCTATTCCAGGTGATCCACATAACTGGCCACATGCTAACACCAACTGACAAGACAGAACGCAACAACAATGATGACAAAAAACCAGATCTTGATGACAAGAAGGTGACCAAGAATGGTACTCTGGTGGCAGTGGGCAGGCCCATACCTCATCCTTCTAATATAGAGATACCTCTGGACAGCAAGACGTTTTTGTCGAAACATAGCCTGGATATGAAGTTCAACTATGTGGATGAGGCGTGAGTATACTTTGATACTATTTTTTTACGCTATGCTAGGGTAGTTGATAAGTTTTGAGCCTTAGAGAACTTTTTAGGAATCCTAGATATACCATGGATTAAAGTCTCGAAGAACGCCTGACGCAGAGTACTTTTAACTAGTTTTAACTGGCATGACTTGACGCTGTAGAAAGTACAATGTAACGTGTCTAAGAATCAGAATAAATGGTGCTTTTTAGTTTCTGCATAGTCTCACGGGTATAAGATGTAGGTTTGTAGAGAGGTTTCGTGTGTTTGTATGATTGGTGAAGTCAACTACATTAGATTTATAATAACTATCGTGAGACATACTAAATTAACTAAAATCGCGGGCGCGAACCCCTCTGTGGGTCGAAACCAGTAGAGCTTTTCTCTGTATATTCACTTAAGTAAGTAACCCGCGATTTTAGTTAAAACATTAGATTTGTTTTTGAAAAGATATAGTCTTAATTTTCAATAATACGATTACTGACTAAGATTTAAATTGCGGTACAAAACATATTTATGTTCGGAAACGGAGCTTGTCGTACTTATTTTATCTCTTTAGGGCAACTCAATCATTAGTACTACGTAAATAAAGTTTACAAGAACCAATAAAGTAATGCGTTCCCCACGGCCAGAAAAATTAGGGTCACAGCTCCTCAAGAGCAAACACAGACTTGGTAGACATAATAATGCCGGGAAAGATCAAAAGATGGCGCTGTTGCCAAACAAATCGACCGTATTACCTGACCGAATTTAAGTAGCGCATAAACTATTGTGTTGTAGCATTTACAGCGGGCAACTTCAACCAGCCGTGTAATATCAACAAAAATATCACCTTCAAATGTATTTTGTAGGTTAAACATGATGCGATTTCGCGGTTTTGTACACAGTCCGCGATAAACTTACGTGGAAAGAGTTCAGTACTCGATGTTTCTATGTGTGGTGATGTGTGTTTGTTGCAGTGATAACAAATAGTGTGTTTGTGTTTTTAAATCGTTTGTATTTTGTGTGTTTCTCTTTCTGGATACTGTGAGAATGGCGGGATATTTAAATTGCACAGCTGTAAGTGGTTTTTTGGATTTCTGTAGGTGTTAAATGGGGTTTATTGATTGATTTTATGTTGTAAGCACGTTTTGTTGATAAAATATTGCATATGAGCAAGGGGCGACGATGGGAGTGGCGGTAGGTCATTCAAGGTTATCTATGTAGGTGTACCGGCAAGCATGTTCTAAGCATGGGGATTACAGGTCACATTAGAGGTGACCTTTGGATTTCAATGGCTTCCTGTGTCTTAATTTTGAAATAACTGAAGTTGACAATGATAGTCGCGAACTAAATGTACCAATTTGGGTTAAAGTTGTGAAATATTTGTAGGTGAATATATAATAGTGACTTTTTACTATTTTGTTAGGTATAAAAATATTAATTTGTTAATTACTTCGCTTGGGCACATATAAAATCCCATTAATAACACGTTTTTAACTGTTATTATAACTAGATTGTAATGAGGCTGACATAGAAAAACCACAATAGTTAATATATAAACTTTCTTCTTTAAATTATTATTATGAATAAAACTTTTTAATTTTTACACGTGAAAGTACTCTAAGTACATATCAAGAATAGCAAATAAATTTATTTTTTATTCAACATTATTTTTCTTTCTAGATTGATGAGCACTCTCGGTTACGAGCCGGACGAGCTAGTCGGCCGCTCCGTATACGAGTACCATCACGCAGCCGACGCCGCATCCTTAGTCCAGCAGTTCAAATCACGTAAGTAAAAACTACCTAATAAATAATACAAAAAAAATCACGATTACAACACATTACAACAAAAATCGAACTATAAAACAGCGCCATCTCTTGACTGGGAGTCTCGTCTGTTTCTGTTGTAACTACCGTGCCTTGTTTGAGCAGATAGTTGGCTATAGTTGTCATAGATGGCAGCACTACAAAAGCGTGATTAACCATTTTTGAAGGATAGTTATTATTTTGTTTATTGCCGATTAAAAAGCATTATATGAATGCAAAATAATTATTATTTTTGTAGCTTTCAGAAATACAGAGACGTACTTTGATGTTCTTATTTTGGTTATAACGACGTAGATTGATCAAAATCTTCTCTACTAACTACAATTGTTTTAGGTACACATTATGTTTTTTACATTGGTAATTGTCTGTAAAAAAACTCATCTCAGTTAGTTTAGTATTATCGAGTAGGCAGTGTACCGGAGGCCCAATTACACCCCCCCTCCTCCCAATCCCTGAATCCCCAACAATTAAATTCTTAATTCAGAAGGCCGGTACCGCCTCTGGTGTTCCAGGTGTCCATGGGCGACGCCGATTGCTTACCATCAGGTGATCCGTCACTCGTTTACCGGCTTATCCCATAAAAAAAGTATGTGTAGGTTACAAAAATGAACTTCTTAACGTTGTTACATTATTTTTAAGTTTGTAACAATATAAACAAGTATACACTCAAAAGTCTTAGGCAATTATTTATTATTGTCACAGAATATTATAATGTTTATACTAGGTACTTAAAATTATCAAAGTCTTATTGAATTTCTAGTGTTACGGACCAAAAACATCGGGCTTAAAATCAAAATTATTTCTTATCCCTCTTTCTCTTTCATAGTTATCGAGTGTCTGTTGGAGAAAATTGTTTCTAACGAGTAGTCTTCGATTTTGTTCCTCCAAACAGTCAATGGCTTCTCGTAACAGTTTGACTTCAGTCATTAATTTACTTTCTAGTGGTGTTCTGACTTGGTTCTCGAAGGTTCCTTCATTTGGTGCATTTACACTCGAGTTTTCCACTGCTTGACCTTGTATTTGAACATACGGCTGAAAAAACATAATATTGACTTTTAATCACTTTCACAAGTATCTATACTACTCAATAGTCTTTCAAAAACATTTGATGCTATTATTGTAATAAACATAAATTACTCTAAACATTTGTTTGTATTTCATCATCATCAACAGCCTATAAATGCCCACTGCTGAGCAAAGCCTTTTCTCACACGGAGAAGGTTTGAGCATTGCTCAATGCAGGTTAGCGATTACAAACTTATAATTAGAAATTATAAGCCCGGGTTTCCTCACGATGTTTTCCTTCACCGTTTGTCAGTGGTGTCTAAATAATCTTAGAAAGTACATATAACTCGGAAAAAGTCACATTGGTACTTGGTAGGTTTCGAACCCGCACCCTCATGCATGAGAAGCCAGCGTCTTAAACCTCCGGGCCACCACGACATTATTGTTTGTGTTTAAAAAAGTAAAAAAATAATAATAATTACCGTTGCAGTCCTAACAACATTGACGGGAGCTAAAATTTGATTAACAATCTGTGGTGCAATCCTCAATCCGGTGCTTGATTGTGGAACGACAATTATATTTCTTGGAACAGACTGACTTATGTTCGGTACTACAGTGTTCACTGCTGGTACCTGGTTTACTATGACAATATTAGGCGCTTGCTCCTCATCATCGCTCGATTCCGAAACTTCGTCGGGTGGTGGCTGTGGTAAAAAAAAATAGATTTTTTTTTATACCATGACGGTGGCAAAAAAGCACACGGCCCACCTGATGGTAAGCGGTTACCGTGGCTTATGTACCTACGCCTGCAACACTTAGGGCATTAAATTAATTGTTATATGTATTACTAGCTTTTACCCGCGGCTTCGCTCGCGTCACAAAAGGATAGAAAATAGCCTATGTACCAATACATACAGCGCCATGTATACCAATACTTTTGTTTTCCCTCGGGAATATCAAATTTTTTCGGGATAAAAAGTACCCTATTATTTAATCCAGACTACTAACTTTACGTCTGCAAAAATTCAATGCAACCGGTTTAGTAGTTACGGCGTGAAGTCGGAACAAACAAACAAATAAACAAACTCACTTTCCGATTTATGATACATATATAATATATAATATATTAGTAAGGATTCCCAATTAACGAGATTTTAGAAAAATGATCGTAATTTTTACCAAATTAATGTCTGGAAAAGCTTCCGAAACTAGTCTCTTTAAACCTTTATTCGTCGTCCAGTAATTTTTCTCATCGAAATGTAGTGAGCATACTCTTGTACTTTCGTTTATGTTGTCTTTTTGTAGTGACTGTATCCATTTGCTACGCACATGACGATTTTTTGGTACCCTGGGGAAACAAAATATTGTATCAGTGGGAATTGCATTAAAACTTATTAAGAATATGTAATTTTCTAAAAACTCAACGCATACATTACTAGAAATAGTTGGTACTTAATAAATGGCTTACACGTAAATTACGAACAATTTTAATACAAATTGAAATACAACAAAAACAAAAACTAAAAAAAAACCTATTCAAATTTTAAATAATATAATTATTCGAATTCAAATGCGGCCCTGACTTAAATCAATACCATCCGGCTGCAGCCATGTTTGTTCGCGATCGCGCGACTTCACAACATTTACTAGAAATTCTCAAAGAACTAAAACGTTAAAAACTAACCTGTGGAAGTGAATATCTGCTGTCCCATGATTATGAACATCAGACCTCGAACTGCAACCTCTAACTGCACACTGAACCATAATAAAACTTGAAAATATGATTAAAAATGTCACACAACAAATAACGCCACGCGGCCGACTACAGTAATGGCGCCGCGCTGTGTTTACCAGACTACCAACGCGCGGGATTGGTTGGTGCCGCCTCTGACGCTCGGCGCCATTTTGAGAGTTTCACGCGCACCACCTAGCGGATATTATACTTCTTTATTCGAGGACGACAAAGTATGCGAGCGAACTACGTCTGACGTCACGCGCTGTCAATATATTGTTTTGATAAACAGTAAGATGTCGTTTACATGTTATTACGTTAGTTAAATACTGTAACAAGATTCATGTAGGTACTAGATATCCATGAAGCAATTGTTTGTTGATTCTAACTGTTTATTTAAAGAACCTATGTTTAAAGTACTTTATTCATAGAACTTCAAAGTCTTCAATTAAGTGCGTATTTACATTGTTGCTTACAGGAAATGTAAACTTTCATAGGTAGTTATGTATCCTTTTTTCAGACCTATATTTCAACAAGCGACTTAACTCGTGGAATCATGTATAATATGATAATCGTCAACCTATTCAAGGTCTCGCTTATTTGTGTAGTTATATGTTATTTGTTAGTTAAGCGTTACAAACAGACACGCGTTTTTGTGTAATACTAGTTAGTATATACAAAAAATATTTTGTTTACACTTCTTGTAGGTAACGTTGATAAATGTTCACATTGTTTCCTATTATCATATTTTTTTCTATGTTACTGATTAGAGTACTGCTGTACCTATTGTACACGTGGATCTGTGTTTGTTGTTTTTGCGAGGTATAAGTTTTTTGTTATCAAACCGTTTAGTAGTTAGGTATTTACATTTCATGAAGTCTAATTATCTTCGACGTCTTATCGCGCGGTTTAAATCTTATGATCAGGCGATAGCATACAGTTTGAATAACACATTAAGTAATACTGTAACAGTGTTATATCACTGCATTTTTGTATTTAAGTTCACAATTTATAACAACAACAAAATGTTGGAGAGCCATGCTTCGGCACGAATGGGCCGGCTCGACCGGATTGATACCACGACCTCACAGAAGACCGACGTGAAACAACGCTTGCGTTGTGTTTCGTCGTATGAGTGAGGTTACCAGAGGCCCAATTACCCCTCCCCCCACTTCCCCAATCTCCCCAATCCCCAAATCCCCAACCATCCTCAAACTCCTAATCCCCAAAGGGCCGGTAAAGCACTTGTAACGCCTCTGGTGTTCCAGGTGTCCATGGATGACGCCGATTGCTTACCATCAGGTGATCCGTCTGCTCGTTTACCGGCTTATGTCATAAAAAAACCAGGCGAAGAGTATACAACGATATCGCTGCTGCATTCATTGAGCATCGGCTAAGAAAATTTAATTCAATGGAACTTCTGAACTATAGTCAGACATTCATATACGAACCGTGGAACGGTTTTGAAATGACAACTACTGTTAAGCTTTTTACTAATTCTCTAAAGGTAACTAAAATGGTACTTATTTATTATGGTTCAAAAACTATGAATTAGTCACTTTCTGGGGATTTTGAGTATACACAATTGCCTTGTGTTTCTTTTGACCTATGTCATTGAAACTAAAGATTAGATATAATATTAAACCAACTGTAGGCTGGTTTTTCGAACCGTATGTTGGTAGTTAACGGTAACCTATGGACAGTTGCAACTTCAAAGGTGTCGTTTACGCGTTGCAAACCCTATAAAGCTGTTAGTACATTTTGATACAATATTGTAATAATCAGATTCGATTTGCATCAGAATTATATTATATTATGCAGTATTTTTTTAATGGGACAAGCCAAGCCCGCCATATCCTCCCAAAACCGCTACAACTCCTGTAAGCCAGGATCTACAGTAGATACAACCATGAAAACACCGGAACACTCAAGTCCGTCGCGTCCCAGGGACATGAGTAACTGTCTTGGTTCCCGCAACGAAGTGAATCAGAAGATATTATAAGAGGAGAAGAAGAAAAAATGATAGTTATGCAGTATATACAGAACCCAAATAACACAAACGTGTCCGTAATATCATATCAATCTTAATTCCAAGTCGACTTTAAAAAATTGAACCGTGGAGCCCGTCAAACTGGAACCGAACCGGTTTAATACTTAAGTACCTACTTAGTGTACAACATACGATTGCTTACCTATACATACGTAGGTAGGTAGGTAGGTATTA